CCCACATTTCACCTATTGTATAAGAAAGACGCAGTCGAAATAGGCCCAGCTTCCGGATTGAATAACGCGTATTCTGTAAATAATCGAAATCATTAAAAATTCACTTCTTACTTTTTTATCGTTATGATAATGAAATAGTGGAAATCAACTAGTGTGTAGATAATCAATTCTTAATTTATGGAATCCTGTATATGTATTATCCAGAATAAGCTGAATAGATAGACAGATAGTAAAACAATTATCATGCATAGATTTATATTCCTTATCTCTTCTTCTTTTGTTACTGTTCATGACATACATACACTGTGAATGTGTATTGATCGCTTGATACTTAATGAACAACAAGACGGTCTACATGACTACTGACCACTCTTTAGTAGAATATTTGTGACATATATAGACAGAAAAAAAATTAAGCAGTTATCACTTGTCAAATCTGATCTGTTGCTCAATAGATTTCTTTCGGGCAATCTAATGGCATATTGTTTTGTCTTGTCTTGTGGTGTTTCGTTTTCTGATAATTTATATGATTAGATAAGGAACCAAAAGTGGAATGAGCTCAAATGAATAAATAAGTTGAGAAATAAATACAGTAGCAAAAGTAGCGACTCAAGGATTGACTTGCTACCAGGGAATAATCTCGTCGACTTAGAATATGCGGACGATATAGTCCTTCTAGGCGAGGACGCTGACAAAATGCAGAGTCTACTAAACACCTTGAGCTGCAATCTAAGAATGTTTGGCATGCGATTCGCCCCTGTAAAATGTAAGATGATGCTGCAGCATTGGACTTCACCGACCCCTAGATTAGAAATAGGAAGTGAAGTGGTAGAACACGTTGACCACTTCACTTACTTGGGAAGTACCATCAGCCCTAACGGGTTGATCGCCGACGAAATCTCAGCACGAATACAGAGGGCTAGTTTCGCATATGCCCGCCAGTTTGCGCCGTCTCTGGCGTAGACGTGACATCCGACTATCGACCAAAGGGCGTGTGTGCTGCTCAACAGTCCGCTCCGTCCTCCTTTATGGCTGTGAGAACTGGCCATTGAGAGTGGAAGACATGAAAAGATTAGCTGTCTTTGATCATATGTGCCTGCGTTCTATCTCCCGTGTGAAGTGGTATAATAAGGTGAGCAATATTAAGGTTAGGCGTTGAGTGCTGGTAAGGAGGGGAAATCAATCGACGAGGCTGTGAAATTACATCGACTGAGATGGTTGGGACATGTGTTACGTATGCCTAGTCATCGCCTTCCTCGACAATGGGCAATGTTAGCTGATATAGAGCCAGGCTGGAAAAGAGCTAGTGGCGGTCAAACGAAAACATGGCACCAATCAATGAAATCCACAACAGTTAGTCTAAGCACCGTAGGGAGATGTAGACTTCCTGGTTGGGGTCCTCGGGACGGTAAAAACCAATGGTTGGAAACAATTGGTGACATGGCTCAAAATCGTTCTCAGTGGCTGGCTCAGATGCATCCACTCCTTGTGACTTATGATTTCATATGAAACTGTTTTGTTCTTCGTTATTACTATACCTTTGTCTCACACCTCTGTTTACTGTCTATATTATGCATTTCTCCTACTTTCTTCTCTTGCTTTGTGTGCTACAAGGAGGGAGTGTGGCGACTTGAACTGCCGCACATCTGTGCAAAGTTCTATGTCGAAAACCGACCGACCGACCGAAAGTTATGAGGATCGCAAAATAATCGATAAGCTAACAAGCGAATAATTCAGATTTCAATCAGCCGCCTAAATATGCAACAGACAGTTTAAAAAACTGTTTAAAGTTTTTTTTGTCCAATGATTTTTTGGCTAGGTGAGTATTCTATTGATTAAAGTTTTAGGGTGGAACTCATTCTGCACTTGTCAGTTTTTCCATTCCTTTACATTCCCAGAGGGTCCTAAGGCTTCACACTTGATCTCTGATATTTCAGTAGTGACGGTAGTTTACTAAGGGGTGGAGCTAGTAGACTCACTCCCAACCTTCCCTTTTTACCGGTCTTAGTACCACGTAAGCGAGGTTTAGTAGTGTGTTAGCCGGAAATCGAAAATCGGATCACGTGCGTTGTTGCCAAGCATTCTATCACTGAGCCGCAGATGTGCGCAGTTATTATTAGTGTATGTTTTATACTATCCCTAAGTATTTAATAAAATAATGGCCAGCACATGTGTTATGCGTGCCGAACTATCGCCTCCTTCGTCCAACAATGCCCAGGTGATATAGAATTAGGTTAGCAAAGAGTTACAGCCTGCCATTACTCTACAAAATCTTTGACTGTTGGTTTAAACCTGTCACTTAGGAAGGTGTAGACTACCTGGCTAGAGTCCTCGATGCACTAAGATCCAATGACTGAAGACTGTTGGTTACACTGCTCAATATCATCCACAAAGGTGCAGATTTCTTCACTCCTAGTGATCTTGGCGACATTTCGGCTCCTGCTATAGACGTTTCAACAGTACCCCTTCGTAACTAAGTAGATAACACATTGACGTTTGAAATGATGTGTACTAGGTTTATGTCTTGGTGAGGACAGCATCATTCACCGAGGATGTAGGCATATCCAGATGTTGAGTTGCAAATACAATGAAATGCACATGTTAGATTTCACTGATAACCATTAACAATTAAATAATTTTGCAAGGGTTTATTTACTGCTTTGTGATGACCCCTTTCGTCAGGCCCCCGTGTGCACTGTCAGTAATAACGGGGTTCTGTACTTTGAATAGTACGTTAATAATGACTGTCTTTAGGTACAGATATTTGCCAAAAGTTATGTATTACATCTTGCAGTACTACTTAGCTAATCAGAATGAAGTAGGTGGGGGCAGCTTTGAACAAGGAATTGAACTATTGAACGTCAGTTGCTGAGGCTAATAGTTGCAGCAGTGTGGTAGGATAAAATCTGATAGTAGTTTTCAATGTTATTATTATTATTAGTAGTAGTAGCACAGTATTATGTCTCCTACTGTGTCATTTTTCCATGTTAAAATCTGACGTAGTTTTGCTTTATTGTTCTGAGTAAGTTCATTACATTCTCATGCCTACTGTTTACTAGATTTATAATCAAATTGTCAGCTTATAATTTATAATGACGCTGGCTGTTCAGTGATTAAATGATGGTTAGCCATGCGCGTGGCCCAAGTTCGACTCCCGGTCTCGAGGATAACTGTCTACACTCCTATCATATGCTGGGAGTTCATCTTGCAACATTTTCAAAGAAATGTGTCATGTTTAATACTCTTACATTTTTTCAGACAGTTGTTTTATAAGCATACTGTTTTTCATCTAAATTAGCCTTATTACACTGCACTTCTTTGCTTAGATAACTATCTTTTAACTTCACCGGAAGTGCTTAAGAACTGGGCAGATGTATTCACTTTTTGTTCTCTGAAACAAAAGTAGAAATGTATTTTCTGATCATTATCTATCTACGTCCCCGGCTTTTGCCACTTATGCTTATTTCTTCACCAATGAAGTATCATTTCATTTCTCCTCTTCACCTTTCTTTGTGCGATTCCATACTATAACAAACTGATGTGAAGCCTATCTGTGAAAGAAGTGCATATTGATCTGCCCATTTATGTGCTCACCTTTTATTTTATTAAGTAATCACTTATCTGAGCATATTAATATAATGCAAGATAAAACGGATTCATAGTTTACTTCGTCGATATCTCGTCAGCTGCACATAATACAAATTAAAATATAACGGCAGAGGATAACAGAGTTGGTAACTGGCCTTTATCAAAGGTAAACGTATCATATTTATACACTCTTAGCCACATTAAAGTTAGACTGAGTCAGAAGAGAATAAACTGTTCTGATTGGTTGGTAATTGGTCCAAGGTTAAGCAGGTTGTCCAATAAGGTTATTTCATGTTCACAGCCTTTGCAGCCATTGGCTTAAAATGTTGATTAAAGTTATGGCTGCGTCCTACCAATGTGCATCACGTCAAAATACTACAACTCTAATAATATACTTTAGTACATTGGATATGAAATGTGGAACAATAATTAAGCATGATCATGATCTGTAGACGAATTAAAATGTTAAGTTAATAAAATATAAAATACCACTGTACTTATGTGTGCAATCTCATCGAAGTTTCTCAGATAAAACAGGAAAACGAAAAGCAAGCTGCGTCGGTGGCGCAGCTGTTAGGACGCTCACCGACTATGCACATGGTCCGGGGTTCGATCTCCGGCCAACGCACACCTGATGTCAATGGTTGGCCTGCTAAATTTGGGCTACCGATAACACATGATGAAAATTCCATACTTCTATCGAAAATACTGTATGGAGTCAAGCTATAATAAGATTTTTTTAAAATAAAAAATAAGATATTGAGGTACATAAATTCCCAGATTACGTAAGTCATTAAAAAACCGTCAATACACAACTAAGGTATGGAAAAGTAGTGTGAGTTAAGCTCATATAGTTAAATTTCGGACATATAAATCAAGTCACCCACTAAGTGATGATGTAACTAAACAAGAATGCAAAGAAATTAACACTCACATTTTAAGAGACGGTATAATCAATCAAGGTTAAATGACGAGTTACCAAGGTAGGGTTAGACTTACTAAAGCTTGATTTTGAATACATAAGTCAGGTTTAGACAGTTTGATAGCGATGGCTTCTGTGAAGTGCGAGAAGTGTGACTTTGATTGCTCATTGGTTAATTATCTTGAAGAACATAAAGATGTCTACTAGTTCCCCTGTGCTGTTCAATGATTTTCTTCTATCTTAATCTCAAACTCTTCAGTGTGAGTTCAGAAAATCTAATATAGGTCCTTCCAAGTGTAACTGCCTCGGCAGCTACACGTAAATTGATACCAACGAATTGAACAATATATCCATTTAAACCCACATCACGTATTGTTATTGCTTTGTTTAAATTCATGAAGGGGACATAGTGTATGAAACAATCGTTTACTAGTCTATTTTCCTAATATTATATTTTAATGTAATGTAACCTATTACTTCTGTTGATTAGTTGTCATCGTATTGGACAGACAAAACCTGTTCTTGTAATTCGTTTAATTACAAACGAATCAATTGATGAGAGTATACTACAACGTGCACAAGCAAAACGTGGTCTTGAACGTCTTCTGCTCAATCATCGAGTATCAAGTTTAGATCCATCATTGTATGATAAATCATTACAATTTCATGAATTAATGAATACTGATGAAAAGGTTTGTTTTAAGCTTTAAAAAAATAAAAGTTTTATTATTATTATATCTCAATTATGCTGTTCACGTGTTCATATTATTTACGAGTATATTATGAATGGGGCGAAGTTAAAGTATCATAGCCAGAATCAAGATCTTTCAAAAGTTGACCTTGAAGAACCGATCAGATACAGGGAACGCTTTGAAATATCATCCCAAATCAAGTTATGCCTGCCTTTTTGGACTTGGACAGGATAAATAAAACATTCGACTCATTTACTTGGTACTATTTATACAAATCTATACTGTTAGGTAGGGTTGTGGCTTTTAAGATTAAGGTTTAGAGTCTCCGGCTAAGGTTAGGATTAAGGTTAGAGATAGGAGTAACTTAAGGAATAGTGTCAGAAATATCAATGAATCTCAAAGAACCATAACCTATAGTCACTTGGATGAATAGGTATACAACGCATGGTGCTTTTCCCCTATAGATCATCTGTGCATTGACTGGAAGACATTCTTACAACACCTAAGCTGCAAGTATCCAGTGTAATAGCAAGTTTGCAAATATTTTTTAGTGTATTTTTCAACGATTATGCGACTTTTCTGCATCTGAGTTCTGATTGTAAAAAATTATATTTGTAAAATCTCAGCGAGGTTGAAATGAGTAATTCCAACGTTTCGTTCAGCAATCTAGTCCGAACTTCTTCAGGGAAATTAATCGAAATTAACATAACAGAGGTTTATATATAAAAGCAACATCACTTGTTTTTAAAAACTTTGTCCAGTCATGAGTCATTCAACAAGTATAATAAACAAAATTTTATGAGCTGTGATCAAAATTTGACCTCGGACTTACAAATATTGGTCTACCTTTGTTAAACACTTTAAACAGAGTGTGTATGTGTGTGTGGGTAAACAGTTGTAAAACATTTCTTAACGTCTCCATAAGAAGATATGGACAGTTGAGAATTTTGACCAAGTATTAATAACTAGTGATACATATCCATTTTTATTTATGAATAAGGATTTCCTATGCATCAGCTAACATCACGCCTTCATGCCTGTTCAAACTGTTAGTATCTAGAATATTATGATTAGACGTATTTGAGCTCTGATTGGTTGTTCAAGGTCACTTTGGTTTTAGCCATGATAGTTTAACTTTACCATGAATGGGATACAATTACAATAACTTCTTTGAGAGGTAATACACATGAAGCAACAAGTCAGCCTGCTCACAAGTCATCTATAATCAGTTATTATTATTTATCGACAAATCTTACAAAGTGATCAATTTTAGGATTAGAATTTTGGCATTGCAATAGGCAGAATATAATTTCATATTTCTTAAGTTTATTCGATATCACACACACACAATGAGGGATAAAATTTCGAGCACAATTTATTACACCCAACATAAAGAACAAGATTTGGATTTCCAACAGTAATATCAAATCTGTGCGGTTCAGAAAATTGTCACATGTGGCACCACAAACATTTTCAACAGTCCATCCACTACAGACAATCATTAAGAACTGCCTTCACTGTCTCCATCCTGAAGACCAGATAGCCAGAAAGCAAAATCAAACAATAAGAAACTCTAGCAACGTAATAACCAAGGGCTTTTCGCCCCCCACAGAAATGCCGAAGAAAATGGAGATGGATCGGACAGTCTATGTAGACAGCTGAGTGACATTGCACTCGAGGCAATCGGGTGGAAGTGAGTCGGACGTCAGTCGGAAGATGACATGGAGGAAACAGTATTAAGAAGAGATGAGAGGTTATAGGAAATCGTGGAGGCGCTGTACAGCTGAAGCCCTATGTTCCACTCAGGACGCTAGGGAACACTAATCATGATAGTAATGATGATAGCAGTTATATGTCAACTATAGAACTTTTAAGAAATCAATGCCGCTTAACCCTCTAGCATTCAGTGCAACAGAGATTTGATTCCGGTTTGAAACCAGGACCTTTAGTGAATCTGTCAACAGTATAAGACGATGTACTGCTGAAATACACGCCAGACTAGCTCCTGAACAGTTTCAAACAGAGTAAAAAGAACAACATCTGTTCAGTAGTCTCTAGTTTTCACTTGTTCACCGGAGAAATATGTTTATTGAATTGTATTACTTCTTTTTCGTTTCAGGAAAAGAATGAAATCGACGCGACTGAAACTGACGAAGTGGATTTTCAGCCACTGCCGATTTCTGATGATCCTGTCTATGACAAGACAAATTTAACCAAATCTGAACTAATCGACTTATTAAAACAAACTGATCATCAATCGAATGTACTTGATGCGTGTAGTTTAACAGATGAAGAATTAAACAAACTACTAGACAGGTACGAATTTATGTTTCAACTTTTTATTTTTTATTTTCAATTATCTGATGAAGATTTTACAAGATTAAGCACTAAACCGTTTTGGCTTTCATTCCAATGGGTTCTAGGTTCGAATCCCAACCCGCCTACTTCAGCCTAAAGGCAGCTGTGTATTACAATTATCAGTCTATTGGTACACAATTAATAAGTTTGTCTGACAGCTCTTGGAACGTAAAAGAGCTGTTCCGGTCAACTGAGTTTATTAAGCGAGATAGGTATCACTAATCGGAGTCCACCAATGATCTTGAAAAAAAAGTGGTACCGGTTCTAATTGCCACTCATTTTACTCCATTTTAAAGAAACTGGGTCGTTCTATGGGACTACGCGTATGAGTCCTAGCTCATAACGTAATACACTCTTTGTGATGATATTAGATGGTTGGAGGCAATCGGCTGGAAGTCTTGGACCTAGTTTTCGTGCTAGTTGACACTCACCAGTCAGCAAGGCGTATCTGCAACCTTGAAGGAACTCATCTCCCTTCTGAGATTCGAACCCGCGTCAACCAGCGCAGCAGTCAGAGACGTTACCACTGAGCTGTTCGCACTGGCTCGCGATTGACCTCCTGTAGGACTGTGGTGGATATTTTGATTTGACACTAGTAACTAGTGTGATGCATCTGGTCCTCTCTTTGGTGCAGACTGAATTCTGTCAGTCAGGTTGTAATGTGACCACCATTCTAGGTAGCTTGCCATCACGGTGTACATTGTTTGTGATGATATTAGTGGTAACAATGTACACCGTGATGGCGAGCTACCTAGAATGGTGGTCACATCACAACCTGACTGACAGAATTCAGTCTGCACCAAAGAGAGGACTAGATGCATCACACCAGTTATAAGTGTCAAATCAAAGTAATACATTCTCCTGTCATTGTGGTGAAAGATTCAAAGCTCATACTGTGAATGCTCCCACATCGAGCTTTCGCTAACAGAATATTTAAGATGAGGTAACAATAACAGTTCAGTCACTTTGTCGGAATCGAATAGTCTTGAGTTCGTTCGTCAATGTGGTGTTGAGGAAACTGTTTTGAGTAATTTGAAGTTATCGAGAACTAATTAATGACAAGTGAAGCAAAAATTCATTTAGATTTTATCTTCTCACATTGAATCCAATTTGGTGTTAAGTTTCCTAGTTACCTTTCGTATTGAACCTAACCGATACCTGCTACATTTATGAAGTAGTTAGACTTGCATACAACGACTACTCAGTGAGATATACTGGACGGCAGGAATGTCTCTGGAGGTCCTACTATCCTGATAAGATCACTTGGCTAGCCGTAAGACTAAAAACAATTGTCATTATTGGGGTGTCATTCGTTTACACTATGTTTTGGAGTTCTGAGGGTGAAGATGTACTGTTGATGGATGGAAGTTTCACAGCACTAAGGTGTTTCTCTCAGCCGGTAAGCAGTTCAGCCACGGTGCTTTCCCGCTCTCAAGATGCGTAGTAGGACTTCTACAACTTGACTTACTCTACAGTGATCCATATACTGAATCGATTACTTTTATTTGTGTATTTCAATGTATATACAACATTTTTGTAATGTACTCTATTTATTTTTACTGATCAGGTCTGATCTTATTGAGACTTGGGGAGAATACAATATTGAGGAGAAAGCGTCATCTATCAACGAATGCCCAAGTTCTAGTCCACTTCATAATAATACACCGATGGTAAATGAGTGCGATGATCTAGGAGACATGAAAATTGATCAATGTGATGACAAAGAAAATCATCAAATCTTAGAGGATAAAATTATGTTTGACAAAGTATACAATGAAAGTATACCAGATCTACAATATCTGGAACACGAACCCTGATTAATTACAAGTTTCTTTTTAAAAAAGTATATATACACATTTTGTTTAGTTTTTCGGCTTTTATAATATCGTTTTTTTAATTGTATAATATTTTCATATATTTATAAACGTATGCAATATAACGCCATCATGGGATTTATTCATGGTATAACTGAATATATGTTATGGTTATTTATTGAATCTTTCTTCTTTTATGTGAAAAAAGGAGTCCCATCTTTAAGTGAGTTTTAAGGAGTTACATTTTAGACTTTAGTTTTCCTCATTGTCTGTCTATTTTGGCCTTTCAGATTCAAAATTAGCTGTGTTGTATAAGAAACTGAAGAAGAGGTTATCTAGATTATTATTATTATTCCCTTGTGTTCCGAGTGGAACATAGGGCTTCAACAATACATCTCCACTTTCTTCTATTTTCTACCATCCTCTTTATCTGGCTCCATGTTTGCCCATAATCTCTCATCTATTCCTCACACGATCTCCTCCATGTCACCCTCCTACCGAAGACCCACTCGTCACTCTGCATTCAGATTCCCCTCGAACAATGGCCTGCATTGAACGTGATGTCATATGACGGTTTCCTAAATGTATGCCCGATCCATCCATCTCCATTTTCTTCTACATATTTGTTGAATAATCGGCTCTTAATTGGTTTGTTCCCAGCCAGAGTTTCCTGTTTCTCATTCTTTCTGGCTATTTGATTTTCAGTATGGAGCCAGAGAAGTTGGCCTGCTGTTGATGAAAGTCTGCACCAGGCTGTTGGAAATCCTTTGTGTTACACGCCAAGGACCGACTTGATATTGGTGTTGAAAATGCGAATCTTGTTACTTACTCTGAGTGTAGAAGATTTCCAAACTGGTTTCAGGTTGATGAAGGCGTGCGTATCTTGCCATTCTGATTCTGGCCTGCTTTGACATCTTTATCCGTTCCACCTATGGTTGAAACGATGCTTCCTAGCCAGATAAGTGAAGAAGGTAACCTATGTCAAATACTATGGAATATGAAAGTGACGGAAAGTTTCACTTCCTCGACATTGCCATGCAACGCCTAGAAGATGATAGTCTTCAGAAGTCAATTTACTGAAAGCCTACATGGAAAGGACAATACCTACATTTTAATAGTTTTTGTCCAAATAGCTTTAAACGCGGTCTAGTCAAGACTCTGTACTATAGGACTAGGAGATTATGCTCTATAGAGAAATTAGAGCAAGAATTTGAGTTTCTTGAAAAGATATTGAAGAGCAATGGGTACCCTCAAAGGTTCATCAATAAGTATGGAAGATCTGAAGTCAAAAATGTAAAACAAATCACAGTAAGAAAAAAGCCAATCTACTTTGAGCTTGAATATAAAGGTGAAAACATTACAGCGGTGATCAACAGAAGGCTGATTACATCATTAGCTATAGCCTATCCTGCAGCTAAGCTCATTCCCGTCTATCGAACAACTTGCTCTTTGGTGCAATCAAAAATCGATAGATATCCTTCTCATGTTAACTCCAACTGTATATACAAATTTACATGTATCTGCGGGAGCAGTTACATTGGAAGGACAGGAAGAAGGGCATATCTACGATTTTCTGAATATGTACCAAAAAGCTTACGTCTAAAGGGAACAAATACTTTAGGCAGTGCCATCGCCAGGCATCTCCTCGACACGGGTCGTGAGGTGGAAATCGAGAAATCCTTTAAAATTATCAATAGACAAAGGAGCTCCATTCTCCTCAAGTTCGCCGAAGCAATTTCTTTCAAACGCTTCAAACCAGATTTATGTGTCCAGAAAGAAGCAGTCGTTAGTCTTTCCTTGCCATGGTAACTAGATGTCTTTATTGTCTACTCTGATTACGTAATCTTTGTCTTTAACTTCACCCCTCTTTTTTTATAATCTGTAATATTGTTTGTCTCTTGTTTCTATGACGTGATTTGAACTCAGTACATCGTTACCAAATTTATTAGTTACTCATCATCTTACTCACCTCTCGTCTTTATCACGTAACTCCTTTACGATTGTATGCATACATTTATTTTGACTTGAACTGCCTGTGTAAAAACTATATAAGCACAATTTTCTGAGCACTTTTCACTAATTGTGGAACTTTCTGTCAACTGACAACATGTAAAATTTGCAAGTATGTTAAAACTTTTCTGTACGTAAACCTCACAATTTATTTAGGCTGTAAGCAGATGATGAGAAGCCAACGAAATAAATGATGGTACCATATTATTCTGCATAAACCACTGTTGTTCTTGCTTTATTTAAATTCATCAAGGGGAATAAATGCGTCAAATATCTCCCCTTGACGGTGATTGGTGCTGATTGTTGTTGTTGCTGTTGCTGTCAGTTTTTTGTTTAGTCTTCATTTTCGTTCGAATTTATTTTCAGTCCGAGATTTATCAATTTATTTGTCAATTGATTTCTCGATCGATAATAGTCTAGGCTAAAATGACTAAAATGATTGCAAACTGGCCATTTAAGTCTCTAGATTTATTTGACATTTGATAGTGATAATGATAATGATATGTGTATTATAGATTTTTAAAAATAAGCTTTCTAAGCATGATAGTTAATTCTTTTTAGTGCTGACTTATAACCAAAATGCTTTTTACCTGTACTTCCGATAAACTAAGCAAGTCTACGTGATTCATACTGAATGACGTGAATTTTTCGATATGAAACAGCTTACGCAACTTGAATAATTACTCACTAAGACATGTGATGATAAGTGCTGTGACTGAGTGAGTCATCTACCTGTATGTGCATCTATCTATGTGTGTTTGGATGTGTGTGAGTGTGTGCGTGTACTTAGTCATCACCTGCTATGCCTATAAAAAGTGCCAGTGTAAGTAAAATTTAACCCTGAATTTCTGTTGTATGCAGTAGAAACTACACACACACACACACATCTCATTTGTTTTCTGTCGAAAAAGAGACAGCAACAAGCAAAAGTGTGAAATCAGCACTCACTTTATGGATCACTCACTCATGGATAGATATCAACTAGGGAACTCTTGAAGATCTAGCAGATAGTCATGAAGAAAATAAAAGACAAATTCAGTGAAGAAAGTTTTCTTTATCAACGAAATCATCTTCAGAGGCTGTACAGTTGTATTTATACTTAGAAAAATATATAGTGGTCTATTATTGAGTAATAGGGGGTGACATAATCGATATAATTACTCAGAAGTGGCTTCAGAAGTGAAAATTAAAAGTTGTAAATTATGTGGTACTCAACGGCAAAAAGATAGAAATTTGATAAGGTTAAAATTGCTATTGAGTGAGAATAAAGGTATTTGAGTGTCAATTTAACAAGTGTGAAGAGGGTGTGAAATGTATAGAAGGAGCATATGAGAGTGATAATAGTGAATTAATTATTAAAGCAAAAGCAAACTAAAAGTAAAATTAAAAAAGAAAATCAAAAATCAAAATATTTTACACGGAACGACTAGTATAGAGGTTAAGACCAAGGTAGAATAAGAGACTGGACAAACCTTTTCTGTATACAGAGTTCAGGGTTGTATTGACGAATTGCCAGTGCCTCCGCCATACACAAAAGCCGAAACCTTACGCCCTTTGTACCATTTGGCTTCACTTTGTAGATGATCTTGAAAGACGACTGTGGTGGAGTTACGTGGCCTGAGTTCACCAAATACTCGAGAATTGAGCTAGTAATTGTCTTGCATTGTCCCTTTGCTAACCATGACGGATAATGTCCAGAGATGCGTTTGAAAAGCGTGCGCTTTGTGCGGCCAATATAACTAGCTCCGCACGAACAGGTGAATTTATAAACACACATTGAGGTGGCCCAAAGCGGCAGTTTATCCTTCACACATCCATTGATCATTTGTCGGCTGTAGAAGTTGATACGTAGCTCAGCCATAAAGAAGAAGGATAAGCAGTGGTTCTTCAGGATCTCAGCTGCGGTATCACCTTTAAATTCAACACTCATAAACAGTAGTTTCTTCGGCACCGTCTGGATTTTTTCAGGCTTTTCCCTTAACTTCATGTTTTTCTCGATAAATCTTGGAGGATATCCATTCTCTATGAGGACTTGTCTGAGTCGCCCCAGTTCCCCATCGGTTGTATCACTGGAACATATCCTGCTTATTCTTGAGGATAAAGAGTGGATCAGATTTCTCTTTTTTCTCAAAGGGACCCAACTATGGAAATTTGTGTACTCACCATTCCATGTTGGTTTCCTGTAGATCGATATTTGAAGAGAACCATCAGATCTCCTCTTTAGAAGAACATCCAAAAAATGGAATTCCGAGTTAATCTCTGATTTCGACGTGAACTGGGCGGCAGCTGTTGAACTCTTTAGTTATCAATTCGATGTCGGTATTGTCGACACATATGATGAAAGTATCATCCATGTATCTTTGGTACAAGTGGAAACTATCGATAGTAGGCCGTAAAATACTGTTCTCCAGACTTGCCAAGAAGCAGTCTGTAAGTAAAGGACCCAACGGTGATCCCGTTTCCACGCAATCTCTTTGTCTATAAATCGTGTTGTTGAACTTGAATTGAAAATTTAGAGTGCACCTCAATAGTATTTCCTTTAAGTAGTGGATCGGAACACATACGTCTACATTATTATCCTCAATGAATTTGCATATAAAGCAAATAGTTTCAGTGACGGGAACGTTGGTGAAAAGCGAAGTAACATCCATGGATATCATTTTCTTCCCAGATACATTAGCATCACTTATTGAATCGACGAATTCAAACGAATCGGAAACACTATGCTTGCAGAGATTATTTCCGATAGGTAGGAGGATGTCCGCGAGCCATTTGGCAGTGGCATGAAATGGGGAATTTGTCATATTCGAGATTGGACGTAGTGGCACGTTCTCTTTGTGCACTTTCGGCAGATCATATAAACGGGGAACCTGAGGGTCGTATTTGCTCGAATAATTCAGAGCTGATAATCGACTCGTTCTTCATCTTCTTTAGCATCTGAGTTAGCTTTCCTTCAATTTGTTCCTTTCGGTCTTTCTGGCTACTTTCTTTTG